ACATATCGGTCCTCCTTAAATGGGGAAGATTATAATACATATAAGCGGTTGCGTTCCGCCGTGAAATACAAAAGTCAAACAGCTTACTCAAATTATATCTCTGCTACGGAATTAGAATTGAAATCAAATCCAAAAAAGTTCTGGACCTTCGTCAACTCAAAGAGAGGTAACTCAACTATCCCATCTACAATGGTTTACAATAATATATCGTGTAGTGACAACAAACAAATCGCTGATGGTTTTGCAGACTATTTTTCAACTTCGTTTATCGCATCTAGTAGTTTCAATAAAGACAAGCGTTCGTATAACAATGCACTTACTATTGCATATAACTCTATTTCTCTCAATGATGTATTATTTTCTATCAAACAATTAAAGCCTAAAATGACTATGGGTCCGGACTTAATACCCGCTTTCTTGATTAGAGACTGTGCTAACGTCTTCTCAGAGCCTCTTTTCACCATATTTAACTTAATTCTGACATCACATACATTCCCTGATCAATGGAAAATTTCAAGAATATGCCCCGTATATAAAAAAGGAAGTAAAAATGATATCGCTAATTATCGACCTATTGCAATACTGTGTAACTTCAGTAAGGTTTTTGAAACTGCTATACATCGTGTCCTCTCTTTTCAATTAAAAAATATTATACTTCCTGAACAGCATGGGTTTATGGAAGGACGGTCGACAGTCACTAATTTAGTATGCATTACTCAGTTTATCAGCGAGGCTATAGATCGGGGAAGCCAAGTAGACGTAGTCTATACAGATTTTTCGAAGGCGTTTGACCGTCTCGACCATGGACTTTTAATGGATAAATTAAGCGCTTTTGGACTATCGTCAGACTTTCTTGAACTAATGAAGTCATATTTCACTGGCAGAACTCAGTTTGTTCAAATTTCTGGTGTTAAATCTACTGAATTTGCCCAGACTTCAGGTGTTCCGCAAGGTTCTATTCTTAGTCCCTTGTTGTTTACATTATTTATTAATGATATTACTTCTCAGCTGAATGTGCGTTATTTGTTATACGCCGATGATATAAAAATATTTTCGCTAATTGATAATGTATTTGATGCCATCAATCTTCAACGTAATCTAGATATAATTAACTCTTGGTGCATTGCTAATAGACTGCCTCTGAATTCTACCAAATGTAATGTCATGACTTTTAGTCGACGATGTGATCAAATTCAATATGAGTATAGTCTAAATGGGTTTGCCCTTCAACGACCTGACTTTGTTAAAGATTTGGGCCTGACCCTAAATTATCTTTTGTCAAGCATATTGAAATTGTGGTAATGAATGCCTACAAAAGTTTGGGATTTATTGTTCGAAACATGTGCAATTTTATGAAAATTAATACTTTTTGCTTGTTATTTAATACATTTGTTAGATCTAAACTTGAGTATGCTTCTGTAGTCTGGACACCTATCTACACTACACACATAATATCTATTGAGAAAATTCAACGCCGATTCTTTAAATCAGCTACATTTTTTATTGATGGCCATTATCCTTCTCAAGAATTTCCTCAGGAAGCATTTTTCAAGCGTTTCAATATGAGTAGCTTGTCTCAAAGACGCAAGTTAAATTCTGTTATTTTCTTATATAAGATCTTGAATAATAACATTATATGTGAAGATATATTACAAATGATCAATTTTCATATTCCTAGAACTTATACCCGACATTTACACCTCTTCGCGACCAAGCATCATCGTACTAATTTATATAAAGCGTCTCCGGTTCACCAAATGATTATTGGTTATTCTAATATTGAATCTCGCATAGACATACTCTGCTCCAGTATTATTCAAATTAAAAAAGTATTCCTTTGAATTTTATGTTTGTATAAGTATGTTTTTGCATTTGTTTGTATTGTATTATAGCATTTTAATATTATCTGTCTAATCCCTGTTTGTTTTAGATATTATGTTTTGTGGTATTTATTTTGTTTGAGAATAGTTTTTATCTCTTTCACCTATTTTTATTACTTTTTTTTTAGTTTGTAACCTTATCCTGTAACTGAGCATTATCCGTAGGATATTGTAATTAAAATAAAAAAAATTAAAAAAAAATACAACCTTTACATCGTTATATTGACATCCGATTTTAGTATTAACGTTTTTGCGATAGTGTTTACATTAGTTTTTCAAGTGTCAAAAATGGCTTACGTGTATAGTAATTCGGAGTTGATGGATATTGAAATATCGATAAATAATATGGATAGAAATTGGGTAAGACGGGCCCAAATGTGTGGACACGTCGGTGGATAAAATTATTTCATTGATTAAAACTACAAATTAATTTTATTAATTAATAATAGCGGCAAAAGCAGTTGAAATTGCTGATATAAAATAGGTGTTATTAAAAATGTATTTATTTATTTCCTTGGGAAAAAAATTCATTCAATATTTTGTTTGTTCATTTTTTATTACACTTTGTCGCCGTGCCGGTCGCCGACTGCACGCTTCGCCTTGCGCAAGGTCAGGATTTCCAGTGGACCAGTTTCCAGTGCCGTGCAGAAGTGTATTTTTAAATCATTTTCGAACTGGCCTTTTGTTTTTTTTACAAAATTGAAGTCCCCGGTACTTTCAAAAATTTCTTTTGGATTATTTCTAAATTACCCTTTATACATTAAAGTGTACATAATATAAAAAACTAAACAAGAATATAAAACATTTCTAGTATTATAATGCGAAATCTTATTATGTATTTAAGTTTACTTCTTTTATATTAAATGCAAACATACAAACACCTACGTTATATTTGGCTGTTGTTTTTTTAGAATGCGGTTGCTGAATTGTGCAAAAATTTATTTTGGGAAAATATACAAAGGTGTAATTAAGAACATTTGGCGTCCTGCAAGAAGTTATGGCAGGACGCAGGATAACTGATGAAAAGTTACCTCAAATGGTGGACATCTATCTAAATTCCATACGGTATGAAAATTAAATAAATACTTCTTATTTTTAAGCGGAACTTTGTATTTGTTCTCAGTGTATAATTTATAAAAATGCTTTAAAACGTTGTTAATTACAAGGCTAACTTTTTTATTTATATGATGTTTAGATCACCAACACTCGTGATCGGGTAATTTTTATGAATATTTGTCTTGTCGTGGAAAACGAAGCTTTGATGTTTCATCCCATTCGAAACATGACACATCTGTTTCGCTTGTCCAACTAATTAGAAGTAAAAATTAACTTCAGGCAAGATATTTTTTTACTTAGGTATGGTTTCAGTTATAATATTCTAACTTAGAATTAATTCCGAAATTAAATCTATACAGGGAAAAGTATAGTTTTAGTGGACTACCTATGGTTTTAAATTTAATTTCACAAAATCGTTTGCGGAGGGAATTCTGCAATGTATTTTTTGTTTGCTCCTTAAGTATATCGGGAATCGGAAATCTCTCGGGACAGAAACCAACAACGTACCCTAAAAGCATAATGTTTTTTATAGAGAGCTCTCTAAAAGTCAAACGAATATGCAAATATTGTTCTTAAAGTACATATGTGTTTTTGTATGCTAAATGTCACCATGTTAATCTAAAAAAGCCGGGATTTATCGCAAGAAAGGTACACAACAACAATATTTTTATTTAAATAGATTTTATTTCAAGATTAGATTGGGTGGAATGTCCAATTTTCATTTTAATTTAATCAGTATGCGGTTATTTTTAAATCAAACTAAAAATAAAAATACGTTGTAGTATTTAAATTTATATAAATAAATTCATTACATATGCTGC